ACCTCAGACTCCCGTCACCAATGGCTAAATGGGAATGTAGGCAGCAGGCTGTTCCAGGGAGCCTCCTGCGGCATACACTCCTGCGCCAGTGGGATCCGTGCTGTGACAGAGACCAGATGATAAATATATTTTTAAACTTGGAAGCCATGAACCACTTATTATTTCTGAATTAGGAATCAAAACATATGAATAATCTCAACAGGGGTCCAGCAGATGCATTTTGCCTTTAAGGTCACTTTGCTCTGGGGAGATGGTCGGGGGTGATGGGCAGCCAAGTCCAGCCCATTCTTTTTGTGACTCGTAGGGCATTCATGTGGTGTTTGCTCGATGAACCAGTCCCTGAGAGTGCCATGCAAGGTTGACTTTAAGTGTGATGCCACTCGGTCAGGGCCACGCTTGGAAACAAGCAGCCATCTTTATTTTTTAATGTGCCGGCATCACCAGGTGCAGGGAGAAGTCAGGGTGGCTGTTAGGACTGAAGAGGCTGTGTCCTGAAGCAGTGTTTTCAGATTTGCCACACGTACTCTCTTACCCTTTCCCTTTGCCCCTCTCTGCACCTCTTCCCCCACGCCCCTGCCAAACAAGGTCCGGAACTGAAGTGTTCTGGAATTCCACCCTGACTAAGCTCTGGGATTAAGACCAGCCATTTAGGAATGAGATGGTGGAAGAGGAAAACTCCCCTCCCCACTGTTAACCCATTGGCCCTGTAGCATAGAAGAGCCATCACCGTTCAAGCCCTAACGTATCAGCATCTCTTGGACACAGCCTTGAAACCCGAGCTTCACGCACCAGAAGACAGTTAAACCAAACCTAGCTGATGACAGTCTCCCTGTTTTTAATGCCTGGGCAGGGTGCACCTGTTTTAGACTCTCACTGCTGCTCAGACACAGGTGTTGAATAACCAAATTCAGAGCGCTATACAAGGCACTGCATAGGAAGGTCATCAGTAAGCCTTGGGGACCTGCCTGGCCACTGGAGAGCCACGGGCAGGCACAGCTTGCTCCTTGAAGGGAGGAGGACCAGGGTGAGCACTCCTTGGGCCTGGGCTTTTTGGCTGAGTCAGGCGAACCCCAGACCCTTCGTTTTCTCTATTGTACCTGTTTTCTGACAGTTTCAAATGATGACAGTGGGGACACCCATTTTGAGAAGCAATACAAACATGCTTACAAAGCTGACAGTAGCCAGGCGGTGGTGGCGCACACCTTTAATCCCAGCACTAGGGAGGCAGAGGCAGGCGGGATCTCTTGAGTTGGAGACAATGCCTGGTCTGCAAAGTGAGTTCTAGAACAGCCAGGACTACAGAGAGAAACCCAGTTTCAAAAACCACCGAAAAAGTCCTCCTGTCCCTGCCGCCATTAAAGAGCAGTAGCCACAACCCCGAGCTACCCCGTGACTGTGGGCCTCAATGAGGGCCATGGGTGATGAAGAACTCTGGAGGCCCAGCGGCACCACAGGTGCCTCACCGGATGCATCAGCTTCGTGTGGGATGGGTGCACCCTATGAGCGGTGTGGCAAGGAGAGCTGCTCAAGATGGCCAAGGACAAGCGGACGCTCAAGTTTATTAAAGAGAGGACAGGCAAGCACACCCCTGCCAAGAGGGAGCAGGAGGAACTAAGCCACGTGTTGGCAGCTGTGAGGAAGTTGCTGCTGTCCCCTCCTCTATAACAGTGTCTGCTGGGCAAGGGGCTGGGCGGGGAGGTAACCACACAACAGGAGTTTGAGAACTCCCTCTTCTTGGTTTTGTCGTCCCTGGATCGGTTCCAGGAAGTATGATATTTTGTAAAGAGCTGAACGGTTGTGGAGTGCAGTGAGGCCTCGGGAGTCTTTGGGAGGGACATTAGTGAGGCTGCCGGGTGGCCTGGCATTGTCTTCATCGAGGGGTTTGGTCAGGGAGCTAGGCTGCTGTGACAGTGGCTGAGTTGGAAGTGCGGTGCTTTGTGTCGATGAGTGCAATTAGAGCCCTAGATGGTGTGATGTGAAGACCCAGCCAGCAAACAAGTGTTCTTACCATTCTCCGCTTTTGGTGACAGCATTATTCTTCCCGAGAACATGTGGAAACCATCAGTAGCAGTAGTTCCCAGTGGTTTAAAGTGCAACAGCCTTGTCTTCCCCAGCAGGTTAGGGATCTCTGAAGGTCCAGATCTTGTCTTTCTTCCTTAGGCAAGCAGAGGGTAGGGAAATGTGGCTCCTTGGCCCTGTCTTGTGACCTGAGGTTACCATTCTCCAGCTCCTCTTCCTGTAGAGGAGTCACAGAGCCTGGTACCCTTGGTGTATCTTCACCCCAGGATGAAAGGCAGGAGTGGTGGATGGGTGTTCAAATGCCCCCATGAGCGCACTGCTCTGTGTGGCTTCTCTGATGGGAAGCCCCATTTACATCCCCCTCCTTCACAGCAGCCCACAGATGAAAACCAAGGTGACCTGCTCAGCCACGAGCGTCAGAATCTCGTGGGGTGCCTGTCTAAAACTCAGCCTGCTTGGATGGATTGGAATCTGAATCCCTGGAGGGCGAAAACAGATACCTGTATGAAATAAGCCTCCTAGATAATTAGAACATGAAGCAGAGGACCACAGTCCTTCTTTGGCCCCTTCATACTCCTACTGTCATGAGCACAGACATCCATACACCTATGAAATGGTTGCTTTTTGATTGAAAGATGTAGCTCAGCGAAGAGCTAGCATCCACAAGGCCCTGATGTTTAGTCCCCAGCACTAAAAACAACTCACATGCGCAGGCACACTCACTCATGCGTGCCTGCTTCTTTTGCTGTTCAGGATGCTTTGCTGTCCAGGTGTCTGTAGGTAAGTGGGGGCAGTACTGGAGGCTGTACTCATGACTAGAGGTGCCAAGAGTCAGGAGGAAAGATCGGGAGAGGGTCTAGAATGGGGTTTCTATAGGGCCGCTTGGGTGGCTGAGGGCTCAGGGATGGGTTGCTCTGACACTGATGAGGCCCAAAGCCTCCACCCACTTGGCCAGACCACAGGCCTCTGATTCTCCCTACAGGAATCATGTGCTTTTAGCAGTCAGGGAGCGGGGCTTTGGGAAAGGTTACAAGATCTCTCTTGAGTCTGGGAGAATGTGAGTTAGAGTTGCAGAATATTGGCAGTGTTCCTGCAAGGAAGTGTGGGTTACTCTTCTTGATTACCAACCTGATGGGCTCTAGAACATCAGCAACAAACCTCTCTTGTGTGTGAGCGAGTTTCTAGATTAGGTTCATTGAAATGCAAGACCCTCCACCCAGTAAGGTCCATGAAGGCCTGGCTGGCAGTGGGAGTGGGGCTTCTCAGTGGGAGGTCAGGTTTACCCGGATCTTAGCCTTTCTTGCTCAGCTAGGTAAGTGGAGAACCATCTTTGGGGACCTCGAGTGCCCCTTTGTCATTGTCCCATCTGACTGCTCCAGTGAGGTGTGGGAAACCACGAGACCTGCCTTAGGAAGCTCGGGATATCTAGAATTGGTGATGGGGAAGGGCAGACCCTGAGAGACAGGCACTGACCTTTTGTGCACCTGTCCCGCTCCTGCCTGAGCATCTGGAAGCTTCTCTTCAGGAGAACCTCTCCCATCTTGAGGCAGAGGCACGAACGAAAGGTGAAGAGTGCAGGCCTGGTTCTAGAGAGCATGTACCGTCCATGCAGTCACAATGGGGCAGAAGGATGGTTCTGTCATCCATGCTGGGTTTAGGTATGCATACATGTGTGCCTCAGGCCTGTGGAGGTCAGAGGAGTGGACCGTCAGGTCATCTGAAACTAGGGTTACCGACAGTTACAAAGCCATCATGTGGGTGCTGAAAGATGAACGCTGGTCCTCCGGAGATCAGCAGGTGCCCTTAACCAGTGAGCTATCTCTCTAGCCCCATTGCGATCTTTCTAAGTGAAGTTAAGGTTTTCAAAGACAGAGCTGTGTTGAGTCTTGATTCAGGCTAGGGAGAGCCTGGGCTAGTCTACAATGGTTGTGAGTTAGTCCAGTCAATTTCCCTCTCCCTGAAGTGGACATGTACCTGTATCCTGCTCCCCTTTCCACGTGCCCTTAACTTTTCAGAGATTCTCTTCTTGGGGCACTGGAGAGGTGTGGGGTGGAGGTAGGGAGCAGACTGGAAATGGGGGACATGCATAGTGTCCTCAGTCCCCAGAGCAAGAAGCGATGGTGAGAAATTGGCCTCACTGTGGGAGCGGGTTACATCCCTGTGTGTATCTAGATGTCTGGAGCATTGGTGACATGGGATATCCGTGCTCAGTAGCCCACTCGGCCCCTAGGATCGCTTTGTCCTTTACTTCCTGGGGCTGTTTTCCTTTCCTTTCCTTCATTTGAAAAATAATCAGCAAAATCCTTATTTCTATAAGCGTTTTTTTTTTCCTGGCTGTAAAAAGCTGAATCCTAAACCCATTATTATAGCCGTTCGTGCTATTTTAATCTACTCTGTTTGGAGGTGAGAGGGTAGCAGAGACTCTACAATTACTGAGTACATTTGATCCATGGCACAGCCACCAGAGCCGGAGGAGAACCCTCCCGAGGAGGGTGGTGCCATGCGTGGCAAATCACTTTCAAATTTACTAAAAATATGCCCCTCTGCAGCCATGTAGATATCATAATTTTCCTCCCCAAGCCTTCTTGAAATTTCTGTGCGCTTCCTGCCTGATGCTGGCTCTCGGCACATACTCCTTGGCTCGCCCTCTTGCTCCCGTTCATTCTTTTTCTTGGCCTTCATGCCCGTATGCTGTCTGGCCTCTGTTGCCCTCCACCCTGTTCCTTGCCCTCCCCCTCCCCATCTTCATCTCCTGCTCAGAAATGTTTTCTATTCTACTACCCGGCACGATAGTGGAAACCATTTTTGGTTTGCCACGGTCAAGAAGGAGAATACTTAGAATTTTAAATCTCCTAGCTATTTCACATTCAAACAAGCTGGCAAGCTGGAGCGGTGCCGCACCTCCTACATACAGTAATTGTTGCATCCCTAGGCTCCCTTTTCTATCTCTGCTCCTATTTCATTCATTTTTCTATTTGCAGCCAGTGCAGAATATGGGCTGCTGCCCCTCCCCGGCTCCTGAATCCCCGCTTTCCATGCAGTGACCTTGGCTTCCTCGAGTGCCGCACAGTAAATGAAATGTGGCAAGGCCACATGGATCTTGATAAAATATATCAGTGCATGAATTGATTTTCATATTGATTTCCGTGGACCAGCAAGGTGCGTGTATGTGGGAAGCAAGTGTCTTGTAATGACAGTCCTGGAGACTGGTAGGGTTGCCTGGGGGAGGAACAGGCTTTGTTTTCTGTTCACCTCAGAAAACTTTCTGCTTCTTAGCACCCGAGAGAGGCCATTGTGCTCTGTGGGTTCCCTCTTTGAGGGAGTAAAGTGCCAAGGTGGTGAAGGCATAGAGTCTGACCCAAGAGAGAGAAACATACCAAATCTGTGTTCCATGACCCGGGTTTTGGAAGGAATATGTTCTCAATGCTTCCAGCGGCTTTGCTGCTAGAGAGACCTAGGAAACTATCAAGTTCGCTATTGAAGGCCATGTGCACCCAGCAGCATGGAGGGTCTGGGTTGGGGAGATGTGCTGGCCCCCTTCCCCAGGTCATTTCCTCTTTCCTTTTTCAGGCTAGTTGAGATGTGGCGCTTGTGAGTCTAGGACCGATGGATGCTTTGCCCTAAGGGGATGTGTATAATTCATGGTGTGTCGACACTGATGGCGGAGTGTGCATTGGAATGTGTGCTTGCAGCCACACGCACGCACAGGCCTGTGTGTGCCGACTTTCCAGGCTGCAAATACGACGATGGTCTCCTGCCTCGGTGGCTTTAATTACCAAGCAACGGACAACCGAAAGAAGAGTGTCACGGCATAATCAAAGCTTGATTTGCCTTCTTCTGCCATTGCTTTCCCAGGTCCTTCTCTCAACTTCTGTGTAGACGTTATCAGCAACTGTTCAGCTTGGAGATGATGAGAGAAAGGAGGCGTGGCTTCACCTGACACTGTGTGCCTGCCTGTGTTCATATAAAGAGAATTAAGTCAGTTGAAATCATTGTGCTAATTCATTGCATTTTCTGGCTTAACTGGAAAACCTTTTTTGTTATGAACTCTACTGAAATGCCTTGCAGCGTGGAGTCATCTACCTCTGGTTTTGGAGGCAAAGCCATTGAGTGCTTTGTCATCCCGCCATCTTGTGGCACTCGAGACTGGTACCCTGATTCTCAGCAATTACATCACAGAATTGGGAAGCATGGAGCTGGCTTGGATGAATATAGTCAGTAGTTCTCAGCCAGGGATGGCTTTATGCTCAAGGGTGCATTTAGTAAAATCTGGAGACAGTTTTGGTTGCCACGATATATGTAGGAGAGCTGTTGCTGATATATACTGGGTAGGGCTGGGAACAATCCTCAACTCACTGTCTCCACACTCCTCTTCCCCACCCACTACAAAAATGTACTTGGTCCAAAATGACAGCAGTGCTGGGTGGAGAATCCTCACCCTGAGACAAGGCTTTAAACATTTCTTTTGTTTTTGTTCAAAAGTTTGTATTAAATTCTTACATGTAAAAACAATTTTTCTCCCCAAAGGCCTAGTTTTTCTTGAGTCAGGTGTTGGAAATGCTCTGACATAATTGAAGTTCCTAATTCACTGGCATTTATTGTTCCAGAGAACAAACAAGGAAGCCTGCCAGCGTGCAGATCAGCAGGCCTGTCCCCAGATGGCCCACCCAGTGAATGCCCAAATTCATTGACTCATGGAGGGTGATTCAAAACCACAGGGATCACGTGAGCTTTAAGTTGGACTTTGAGAGCTCATGGTCCCACATGGGGACATAGTGCACCCTTGTTTTCTTTGCAACTTTTATCACATGTTCAGAGGTTTCTGCTAGAACTTGCCAGAGATACCAGGTGCATGGAACTGATCGTGGACCAGAGGCAGTTTGGTGTCTGTGCAACACATCTTCAGTGGATCTAGACCCGCAGTGCTTCTTGAGTGACCTGCTGTGGGTTCTTGGCAGAATGCTTTGGTCTTGAGGAGACAGGAGGAGAGGGCCAAGGTGGAGAGTTTGTGTGTTTTGGTTGTTGGACGATGTCATTGGAAGTCACTGAGTCCCATAGGATCCGCCCGTTTAAGTAGAATCTCATCAGGTGAGGTGGGGTTAGGAAACATAAAGGACTTCCTTTATTGGAGTAAAGAGAGAGCTTTTGCTCTGGGATGGAATGTTCCAGAACCCTTGTAGTTGCCTTATTGACCTTCTCCGCAGCCCCCTTACATGCCGTGAAAGAGAAGTGAAGTCCGTGTGTCTGTCTGCACTTCTGGCGAACACAAGTAAGACAGTTAAGAGATGGAGTGTCCTGTTTTCTTATTTCGTGTGCCAACCATCTGTCATGGCGACCTCTGGAAGGGCCTCGTTGTTTCAGACACACTGGAAACGAAATGGAAATGCCCGGTGAGGTTGGTTTTTCAAGTCTCTTTCAAAGGGTAGAGTCATGCTGCGGAAGTGTGGCTTGTCTCCCATGCTGCCTTTTCTCGTCCTGGTTTCCACCAGCAGGACCAATAGAGAGAGAGGGCTGTTGGTGGGCTCAGGGGGATGGGACTCTGCCCTGGCTCTGTGGTCTTCTGTCTGTGTGACCTTGTGCAGATTTCTCACCCTTGCTGAGCCTCTTAGGGACACAGCATGCCCGCTAGACCCTCTACAGACTGGCTTTCTCAGTTAAAGAACGGGAAAGGACTGTGCATCTATCAGGTACTCTGGAAGATGCGTGATTGTTATGTGGACTGATTCCAGGCTGCAGAACAGGTTTGGGGTACTACATTGTTCTTGAGGGGTGTGAGAGCTTCTCCCCAACCACTCCTGTTGTCGTTGTTTGTCTTGGGACACCTAACCAGCTATTAGCTGGCTGGCATGCTTAATAGCATCAGAGGCATGCCCGAGGTCTTCCTTGGTATATTGTAGACTCAGGGTGGATGTGTCTCCCGTCCCTTCTCTGGATGGAAGAGTATTTATAGCTGGGTACAAGCACAGTCAGAAGGTTCTTATAAAACGCTGTTCTTACTGCAGTACCAAGTTAGAAATGCTTGAGGTTTCGGCTTCTTGGCTCTTCCATGCGGCCATGAATATTTTATGGGAAAGGAAACACTTAGTGTCTGACTCTTTTTATAGTGCAGCTACTCACAGGGCTGGGAACCTTCCAGATCTTGCCAAAATCAAAATCACTGCCTGTCCATCCATCCCTCTACTTCCCTTTCAGAATGCACTAGAGCTCCACCTCACGGAGGTGTCTGGTTCTCTGGGTGAATGGCCCCCTTTGTGAAACGTGTGCGGGGTGCAGTTTGCAGTTCAATATATGCCCTAAGTAGGTGGAGGGAGTGGGCTGCTTGTCAGCTCTACCCAGTCCTGCTGGGCCTGGTGTACTGGTCAGTACCAGGTTGCCTTGCAGGTAGAGTGCTCACCCCTTCTAGGTGCCTGTCAGCATTTTCTGCCAGAGTCTTCTCTACTCAGGAAGAGGTGGCTGTAATCACCGAAGTCTCCTCTGATCTTGGAACATAAAATCACCAGCTTAATCTGGATATGGTGGTGTCAATCTATTATGCCAGCACTTGGGAGGTTGAGTCAAGAAGACCACAAGTTTCAGGATTGTCTCAAGAAACAAAACACGCATGCTACAGCAACAGATTAAGTTTTAAGTCTAGCAGGTAGCAGGCCCCAAGGGACGTTTTTCATAGCTAAAGGTGGGTGAGATACCCTTCCTGGGCTTTCTCTCTGTTTTTTCAGTGACCCACATGTAATGCAGGAAAATGGGGACTTTGTGGTTTCCACTTTGATGGGCTTAGTGGAGACTCAGTGAAGAGGAAAACAGGTCCTTTGGCAGGTGAGCACAGTGGGAGTTCTTCATTGCTGGCCTTAGTGGGACTCCCCAGAAGCAGGTGTCATCTGCCTTGGACTCACAGCCCTCTGTCACCTGTTAGGACTACAGTTGCTCCAGACCAGGTGGCGTGTCAGATCACAGCATCCAAGGACACTGGACCTCAGGTAACTGGCCCAGTGGACTTTCCAAAGGGGCACGCAGACAGCAAATGTCTCCCGTGGAGGCAAGCAAGCTAAGTGGCCTCATCTTTTTAACAGTGTCTCCAGACCCACCCCCCCAAGAGTGCAGCATGGCTTCTGATATGCCCAGGAGCACAACTTGTTGTCCCTTGTGCCAGTTCAAGACATATATCCTAGAAAGATGTAATTTTACTTTTGAGAATGTGTATGTCCTCACACGTCAGGTTCCAGCAGAAGCCAGAGGCATTGCATGCTTCTGGGGCTGCTACCTTAGGCGGGTTTGAGCTGTCTGATGTGGGTGCTGAGAACCAAATTCCAGTCCTCTGGATGAGCATTGTACACCTACAGCCACAGAACCATCTCTCTAGCCCCCCAGGACAGTCTCTTAGCAAGACCAAGTGCAGGATGGGGAGTTGAACATAGTCAGGACCTCAGTTTCACTCTGTTGTCTGGGCTCTGGGAACTCAGGCTTCCACAGCGTCTGCCGCCTGGACTGCCCTTAGCGTTCGCCTTGGCTTCTGAGCAGGTAGAGGGAGATGGTGTTTGGCACACCCTCGGTCGTTGTGTGACCCTGAAGCAGAGCTCAGATGGTTCACGAGAGCTCTGTGCTTCCCCCACCGCCTCACTCCTTGGTCTTCAGACTCAGCCGTAGCAAAAGGCAAGGTGGGGACCAGAAAGCTTATGGGATTGTGGGTTTAGAGGTTTGCTTTCCCTAATGTTGGAAAGGTCAAGGAGGAGCAGTCATCAACCCCCCTCCCCATGTTTATTATTCTTAAAGGATTTGGCACAGCGTCTTATGCCTAGGGTTAACCTCAGAGACTGAATATTTAGGCTGTATGTTGATAGCAGTGACCATGTAGCTACCAGTTAGAGGAATGTGATAGACGTCAGGCTTAGTGAATTGCGAATCTAAACTGGGACTATCCCTCAATTAGTGGGCTGCATGTGTAGCATACACAAAGTCTGCTGTTTAGACCCCGGCACCGCATAAACCAGACATTGTGGCCCATTGTCAGAGCTTGGAAAGGGGAGGCAGGAAGATCAGAAATTCAAAATAATCCTTGGCAACATAGAGATTTTGAGGCCAGTCTGGCCTCCATGAGATCTATCTCAACAAGCAGAACAAAACAACAAAAAGAAGAGGACCCTCAAATGTTGTGAATCTTTATTATTATTATTGATCCTTCTCATTGGAAGTCTCCCCTACCTACCCAAGGCAGGGTTTCTCTGTGTATCCCTGGCTATCCTGGAACTCACTCTGTAGACCAGGCTGGCTTCGAAGTCACAGAGATCCACCTGCTTCTGCCTCCAAAGTGTTGGGATTAAAGGCATGCACCACCATCTTTTAAACAATGCAGACAGCTTAAAAAAACAGAGCCAGAAAAAGAAGAGCGAGAGCACTTTGATCAGTATTTGTTAGACGACAGACAATGCTCTGTGTTTTTAAACATCTGCCTTTTAGGCTTAGCTGTAGCAATTGCCCGGCTCTAGGAAATGATGCCTGGGGTGGCTGGTGGTGATTATGGATGATTTCTGAGGCAGCTACAGCCATCATCTCGCAGTGGGTTCTCCCCGTCCAAAAGATAAAGGACACTGGCAATCAGGCAGACACTGATTTGTAAGTCCTCATTCCCCGCTGCAGAACCCAGGGATTGTGTCTGTTGAAGACTTTGTCTTGCACAGTGTGGTTTAGTCTTGAAAAGGTAAGTATAGTTTTGACTGAAGATGGATGGCATCTCTTCCCTTAGAGGCAGCGTCATGCGGTCTCTGGGGGGTTCTGTCACAGCTGTCTTTCCTGGACAACCGTGTCCTAAACTGAAGCTTATTGTTCCATTCTCCCACATCCCAGATCTTTGACTCTGTTGCTTGTTCTGTATGGAATTTCTTAGCTGGGAATTATAAAATAACATTTTAAAGAGCTCTGTCTGAGATGCTTGAGTTCGTGTGCTCTGTGTCACCTAGAAGTACCGTTAGACTTTCTGAACAGTCTAAGGGTTAGAAGGTTGTGTCTTCTTGTGTCCTACATTCAGGAAGTGTTCCTCTTGGGGTGCATTATTTTGGAGACTACTGTGATTTACTTTTTGAAGTCAGTTACTGTCATCTGGCCACCAAACGAGAAAGAACCTAATATATTGTCCCGATTAAAGTCACTGCTAACAGCCTCAGTTAAAGATATCATTGTGCTTCTGGCCCCTTCTTCCTAGCTCTTTGGAGGCAGAGCCTTCCAGGTAGAAGCACCTTGAAAAAGAGAGGGAAGTGGAAAAGCACGCACTGCAGAGATACCGAGTCTGCGTAAGGTTCTTTGCCCTGCCCAGTCTCACTGGGCAGGAACTTGGTGGAATGCTTTTCGGGTACACAGAAGTGAGACAAAGAGGATGTGATGGCAATTATGTATTTTCATGATGAGACTGGAGGATTTCCAGGCTTCTAAATCCTTACAGCTTGCTTGTGGAGAGAGGAGAGGCTTGGAGACTTCCAACAAGGCACACCCCAGGGGGAGTTAGATTTTGTC